CCACCCACAGCCTTTCCAGCCACCTTGCCTTTCTCATTCCAGGGCCACAAGGTACTAGGGATCCCACAGACTACAGTCATTCCAACATGTAGGTGTCCTGGACACCCTGCTACTCAAAATACACACAACATTTCATACCTAAATTCTGTAATGTCTCAGAGCTCACTGACCCCACCTCCTGCTATCTCCACCAATAATAGACCTCAGCTAAGAATTATTAACTCTCTTGGGGGCAACACCATATGGATGGTCCCATTCTCATGGGACAGGGTNAGCCACCATATGGATGGTCCCGTTCTCATGGGACAGGGTCAGCAGAGATGGGTGAATTACCCAAGAGAAGGCGGAAAGAGCTCCCAGAGTTTGGATCCAGCACTAGAGTCCCCCAGGTCTGGGCCTTGNCGGAAAGAGCTCCCAGAGGTTGGATCCAGCACTAGAGTCCCCCAGGGCTGGGCCTTGGCGGGGAGAGGGGTTCTCAGGAAGGGAGGAAGAAATCTCTAAAGCAGTAGTTTCCTTATTTTAGGGGGGCCTGGGGAGTGGGGGTTAGGTCCAAGACCCTGTGAGAAACTTAGGAAAGGAGGGACCATGCACCCAGGCCCAATGTCCCCAGCAGGGTACACGGGCCTTCAGACTTGTGATGCCTGCTCCAGGTCCCTTAGCTTCAAAATCTCGCCCTGGCCCGCCCCGAGGTCACACCTGGAGGAGGTCCCGAAGGCGGTGGCCAGCGCTGCCGTGATGCCCCACAGGAAGCGGTAGGGGTTCTTCCGGGTGAAGACGAAGTAGATGAGGGGCAGCACCAGGAGCCCGTGGATCAGGTGGCCCAGCACGCAGCACAGGACGTATTTGCCCAGGCTGCTGAAGAGCATGCCCACGTCCTCCATCTCCACGATCTTGCTGGCCACCAGGAACAGGATGCCCACGGGGGCATACCTAACGAGCCAGGAGACAGATGGCAGCCTCTGACCACGCGCCCCAGGCCCAGGCACTGTGCCCACACACCTGCCCACAGCCTCCCTGCAAGTCAGGTGGCGCCCCGAGCAGCGTGTGCAAACCCAGCACCTCTCCTGCCCGCCTCCTCTGTCCCCTTGGACACAGTGTAGCTGGGAGGTAAAAGGAGCCTGGGTGCTGCCATCGCCACTTGGAGCGGGGTCACCAACCATATTTGTCAGGACTTAACACTTGACTGAGAAAGAAACATGCACCATGTGTGACTCGTTTATGTTTCCTGGGTTCCTGTTATAGCAGCTAGTATGACTTAAACTGATATAATCTCCCACCACGTCATGAAAANCACTTGACTGAGAAAGAAACATGCACCATGTGTGAGTCGTTTATGTTTCCTGGGTTCCTTTGTTACAGCAGCTAGTATGACTTAAACTGATATAATCTCCCACCACGTCATGAAAAATAAAAAGACCAAGACTCAGGTCTTGGTAACAGCTCCGAGGAGTGAAGCATTTGCNCGACTCAGCTCCGAGGAGTGAAGCATTTGCGATGTGCTAAGCCCCTGAGTGTGACTGAATCTTCACCTCAAGGGAGCTTCTATTTCGAGTCTCTTACAGCCACCTGTGTGCCTGGGTTTGGCCAAATACCCATGTTCTGGCCAGTGGGATGTGNAGACTCAGGTCTTGGTAACAGCTCCGAGGAGTGAAGCATTTGCGATGTGCTAAGCCCCTGAGTGTGACTGAATCTTCACCTCAAGGGAGCTCCTATTTCGAGTCTCTTACAGCCACCTGTGTGCCTGGGTTTGGCCAAATACCCATGTTCTGGCCAGTGGGATGTGCCAACANCTGAATCTTCACCTCAAGGGAGCTTCTATTTCGAGTCTCTTACAGCCACCTGTGTGCCTGGGTTTGGCCAAATACCCATGTTCTGGCCAGTGGGATGTGCCAACAAATTATACAAGTCAAGCACTTGATAAATATTAGCTAACATTGTTTTCTGTAAGCCTGCTATAGGTCAGCCATGTCCCAGGCACTTCACACGTATTAATTTTTGTGCCTGGTCCGCTCAACCCCATTTTCCAGGTAGGGAAATTGAGGCACAGATGGATAAGTAAGTTGGGTAGGGCACAGCTGGGAAGTGGCCGTGCCGGGATGGGAGCCCAGGCCACCCAGCTGCAGAGACTGCTCTTGCCCACACATCACCAGCCTTTCCAGCAAAGTGCTTTTATTAGTCAAAAGGCGCTTGATTCCTGCACAGCAGCTTCCTTAGGTGAGATGTCAGCTGCACTGGAATCGGTGGGTGGGGGTGTAGGATTTGTTAAAGATGCTCCAACCCTGCCCCCTCCTAATTTCTGACTTTCTAGATCCAGGGTGGGGCCTGAGAGTCAGTGTGAGACTGGGGAGGGGACAAGTATGGAAGCCAGAGGCCTGTGCATATGTTTTTTCTCATTCACTAAGGTCATTTAACAAAGCTCATAATGGTAATAGTTGTAGCTCATATTAAGTCATGCTCGGTAAGTGCCACGCTTTTAAGGGACTTTCTAAGTGATTTCTTTACCTATATCCAGTCACTTGTTTCATCTTCATGATATCTCTAGAAAGCAGGTGCAATTTTAGATCACTGATCCAGAGGCAGACATTTGATTACCTTTAAATCTCTACAACTGAGATGTGTTAGCCAAGCTGTGGCTATAGCTTGGCTGTCTTTTTGTCACCTCCCAGTAAAATCAAGGTGCCAGTAGCAGTCTAAGCTTTCATGGGCTACAGCACTGTCCTTATTTTATAGATGAGGAAATTGAGGCACAGAGAGGGTAAGTCACTTGCCCAAAGTCACACAGCCATGGAATGGTTGATGCTGGATTTGAATCCAGGGCATCCGGCTCTAAGAAGTGCCCAGAGGGTCTTCCCACCTTACACCCCGAGTCCCCTCTCCCACCACCTACCACATGATCCAGGAGACCAGCACCATGGTGGCGTCGTTGAAGGAATTGAAGAAGCGGATGAGCAGCTCTCCCTCAGACCCCAGCTTCCGCAGGCACACGCCAAAGGTGATGGCAAACACCACCAGGCCCAGGATGTTCATACCCTCCACCTCATCCCCCACAGGCACCTTTGGGCAAGGAACAGATGGAGATGGGAGGCAGAGATGCTCAGTCAACTTGCAAAGTCACTGAGGGCCTGTCCTAGCCAGTGCTGAGACCCACCAATTTGGGTCCCTTCCTCCCAAGGCTCATGGTACAAGGCCACAGGAAATAGACCTATGGCCAGGGACCACCCAGAGTGGGCAGGGTTGAAAGTGGAGAACCTGGGGGAGTGTGGGAAGTCAGGGGTATGGGTAATCAGGTAGGGCTTCCTGGAGGAAGGGGCTGAGACCTGGAGAACAGGAAGAGTGAACCAGGTAAAGAGGGGTGGCAGAAGGTTCTAGAGAGAGGAAATAATTTGCAACAGGCTAGAAATGAGAGCAACTTGGGCATTCAAAGAGCAGAAAGAAATCCACTGGGTCTGGAGTGCAGCGAGCCGGCAGACTCATGAGATAAGACGGGGGGACGGTGGCGAGGGGGGCAGGGGTTGGACCTTGAAGGGTCCCGTGAACTGTGGCAAGGAGCCTGGGCTTTCTTTTTCTTCTGGGGACACCAGGGAGCACCACAGGGCTCTGAGCAGTGGAGAGGCAGGGTCAGCTTATGGAGATTCCAGAAAGGCAGAAAGACAGAAATTGGGGAGGGGCTGCACAGNCACTGAGGCTGCCGGGCCTGGGGCAGAGCAGGGAGGAGGCCAGGCCAAGATGGGGTGTGGGGAAAAGAGGAGCCTGGACCACGGTGGGCAGTGGGGAGGGAGAAGACGGGTCAAAATGGAGATTCCAGAAAGGTAGAAAGACAGAAATTGGGGAGGGGCTGCACAGAGTTTGAAACAAATTGCANATGGAGATTCCAGAAAGGCAGAAAGACAGAAATTGGGGAGGGGCTGCACAGAGTTTGAAACAAATTGCACACCAAATGTTACAAGACCCAGGGAGTAAACAAAGGCTGGGGCGGGAACAATAATGGGCCAAAGGGTGGGGTCTNGGAAGGGGGGGTCTCCCCACCCTTCTCCCGCTCTCACCTTCACCTTGGTTCCATTGAGNCCAAAGGGTGGGGTCTCCCCACCCTTCTCCCGCTCTCACCTTCACCTTGGTTCCATTGAGATCTTTCTCTTTATAGGAGGTAGCGTACTGCAAGGGGGGTTGGAAAGAGGCTGTCAATAGTCATCGAGGTCCCCCACCCCATACTGGCACCTCCAATGCTCAAAGCCTGCCCTAAACATCCCTTTACACATGATCTCATTTCATGCCACCAGCAACCCACTGATAGGACTCTTCATGCCTGTTTCCAGAGGCAGAAGCCAAGGTTCAGAGAAGTAAAGGTACTTGCCCAGCATCACACAGCTAGAATTAGGACCCAGTGGGGGCTGAGAATCCATATTCTCATTTGTGGATGAGGGGTGTGGATGCGTTTCAGAGGTCACCCAAGAACCCTGCAATATTCCCGGTAAGTATGTGGGCAGGTACCACCACAATCAAGCACCAGGGGCCTGCAACTGGCTGGCTTCCTCCCTGCCTGCCCCCCACCCCTGGGGATACCGGAGGACTCACTGAGCGGAAGGCCGCAGACACCAGGTTGGAGGGGAAGATATTTCTGCAGAGATAGACATGGGGGCGAGGTTATTAGATCCCACGGGGGGGGTCAGGGGTGTCTGTGGGACTGGATTGGCCCCTTAGGGTTGGGGGACCTTTGGAGGCCCATTTGTACCCACATATGGCCCCACCGGTTCCTCAGCTCGGCTAGGTCAGGCAGAGCTGACCCTGGCCTGCACGCGTTTTCGGGGCTTCTCAAGGCTCAGCTGGTTTCCTAGGGCCCCAGTAGGCTGTTGTCATAGCCCCAAAGGATTGAAAGGATTGCCATTGAGGGTGAGGAATGCTGGCCTCCCAAGGCAGGCTGGGGCAGGGTCACATGGGGCCTCATCTCCACCCCAGGAAGCAAACTAACATCCTGGACATCTTGCATCAGCCACTGCGTCTGAGAGAGGGGCAGGCTGGGCCTAGGCGCTGGCTGCCAGGTCAGATCTGGGTGTTGGGAAGAGGCGGGGAGAGAGGGAGATGAGACATGGCTGTGTGTGCCATGAATGTGCCTCTGTTCACAAGGCCACTTTTGTGATAGTGTCCAGGTGTGACTGGGTGTGCAGCAGTGTGCCTGAAACCCACTGAGTGTGTGTGAGTCCGACGACACACTAGTCTCAGGGCGAGATGAAAATAGCAAAGTGGCTACAGGCACTGGAGGAAGGGCTGTNGGCTAGAGTCTCGGGGCGAGATGAAAATAGCAAAGTGGCTACAGGCACTGGAGGAAGGGCTGTATGTCAATCAGCCCACAAGAGCCCTCAGGGATGAGCACTATTATCCCGTTTTACAGAAAAGGAAGCGGAAGCACAGAAACTTGAAGCAACTTGCCTGGCTAGGCAGTGGCAGAGCTGGGATTTGAACCGGCCAGCTGGCAGCCCTGACCCTGGGCACTCTGACGTCTTCCTCCTCCCCGTGACGTGAGTGTACAGCTGTTGCTGTGGGTCTGTATTTGGTTTGTCAAGTGCTGATATGTGGCTGGGGTGCGGGTTAGTGTTCAGATAGGCGGGACAGTTGCGTGGCCATGTAGGCCTGAGTATGTATGTCTGTGCTGAAAGGACGTCCGTCCCCAGTGGGTATGGGAGTGTGATGGTGCAAGCCCATCTGTCAGTGTGCGACCTCACAGCCGCGGCCGAGTGTCTATGTGCCTGCGTCCAGCTGTGTGTCAGTTGGTTAGAAAGTTGTGCGGCTCCAGATACTTCAGCTGAGTCTGGGAGTAACTATGTGCCAAGGGTGGGTGAATTTTCTTTTGGCACATGGGGGATGCCTGTCCACATAAACAGCCTTTGAGTGGGTGTGTCCATCTGTAAGTAAGCTGGTCCTCAGCCAGGCCAACCAGGGCTGGGCCAGGGCCCAGCTAATCTCTCCTAGCCATGAGGTGCCCACCCACTGCAACTTCTGGGTGAGTTTCCCTTCTGAGGCTGAACTGAGGANCAGCCATGAGGTGCCCACCCACTGCAACTTCTGGGTGAGTTTCCCTTCTCAGGCTGAACTGAGGCCCCAAGAGGCTGGGGAACCCGGTTCCGTGATTCATNACCCAAGAGGCTGGGGAACCCGGTTCCGTGACTCATCATTCCCCTCCACCACTTCCAGGAAGTCCCCAACCAACCTGCAGACCCCAAATCAGCAGGCCCCAAAGGCAAGGCCATGGGGATCCAGCAGTCTGTNTCATTCCCTTCCACCACTTCCAGGAAGTCCCCAACCAACCTGCAGACCCCAAATCAGCAGGCCCCAAAGGCAAGGCCATGGGGATCCAGCAGTCTGTCCTCCTTAAAAGGGGGGAGAGCCATTCTGGTGGGTGGAGACAAGGGGGGAGGGGGACTGCAGGAAGCAAGAGGCCAGAAGGAAAACAATCTACCCCCTTTCTAACTGGCCCCCTTCTAGGCAGCCTGGGGGTGGAGAGCACAGAGGGAGGAAATGGAATGGAAAGTGGTGGAGGTGGCAGGACTTACCAGGGACATATACTGGGGAAGCCACCAGGGCCCAGCTGAACTGGGTAGGGAAGGGCGGCCAAAAAGAACCTGGCTGTCTGGGTGACACATGGCATGGGAAGCACTGGGACTAGGAAGAGGGTCTGGTGGGGGTCATTCTGATCTCCTCAGGTCCTCCATGGGCTCCTTGGGTCTCACATCTTTTATCCAGACCCTGGACTCAAACCTTTATCCAGAAGCCCCATCCTGGAGTCCTTGGCCACCCAAAGATCCCCTTGTAAACCCTCAGGATCCCCTCCCCTGACAGGAGAGCTCCTCTTATGTCCCCCAAGACCCCCAGCATTACTTTCCCCTTTCCCTGTAAGACTTCCTTTCTTATCACCCTTATGTGGGGTCCTCCTATATCCCCAGTCCCCCACGTTTATAAGTCTCCTTTCCCAGGAGTCACCCTCTGTACCCTGACCCTTGAAGGACCAGAGCTCCCCCCCCCTCCCATTCCCTAGAGTTTTCCTGAGGCCCCTGGGGATGTCCCTGCTCTGGACAACCCCGAGTTCCACACACCCTTCCCCTCCACGTGGCCACCCCAGCCATCCCTGACACCACCGCCCTCCCCACGTGGCTGAAGTCCGCCCCCCTCCGCGGGCTCGTGGGGTCTGACCTCACAAGATCCAGGAAGGAATCCAGCACGTCCTTGCTGGGGGCTTTTCCCGCAGAGTCGGTGTCTCCTGCAGAGGAGTTGGTGGCCAGGACGGCGCCGGGCTGCAGCGCCAGCGCCAAGCTCACGCCGACAGCGGACGCTATCAGCGTGGTGACCAGGAAAAAGAGCAGCGCCCAGGCGCCCAGGCGGCCGAGCGCTTTGGGATCCAGGCTGGCGGCGCCGCCGATCAGGCTGCACACCACCAGCGGCAAGATGATCATCCGCAGCAGGCGAAGCAGCAGCTCCCCAGGGAAGGCGAAGGCCGCCAGGCGCGAGGGGCCCAGCGCGACCGCGCCGCCCGCCTTCGACACCCCGAGCCCCACCGCCACGCCCGCCACCACGGCCACCACCGTCAGCAGCACCAGCAGGTTGGCGCGCAGGCAGCGGAGCACCTGGTCCCGGGATCTGCAGCAGCCGCGTCGTGCAGCAGCTGGGTCCTCTATGGGGACCGACGCTGGCACACCGCTCGCGGTGGGCTCCCCCTTCAGCTTTGTGGGGTGTCCCTCAGGCGGATTGGCCATCATGATGAACGCCCCGGGGTTCCTCAGCGGCAGGAAGCTGGGAGGGCTTGGGGCTCTTTCCTAGACACCGACGTCCTTAGAACGCAGGGTTGTCACACGTGGGAGCTGGAACTCTGAGGGTNTAGCGGCAGGAAGCTGGGAGGGCTCGGGGCTCTTTCCTAGACACCAACGTCCTTAGAACGCAGGGTTGTCACACGTGGGAGCTGGAACTCTGAGGGTTCCTTGGAGTGTGAGTTCACAGCGCCCAAGTTCCTGGCTCTGGGAAGATGGGGTGTCTGAGATCCGGGAGCCCCCGCGCCTCTTGGCCCTGGGAGTGGGAATACAGGAGTTGCTCGGGCTGGGACCTGGGGGCCTTGGCTCCGGAAGGCTGGCGGCACCTGCGCGGCCGAGGTGGAGGTCTTCACGAGGCGAGGTCCTGGTGGCGCAGATCCCCGACGCCGGGATCCAGGAGGAGGGGACCTGGAGTGCCCGGGCCCTGAAAAGGGGGGCTCTGAGGCCTGCGTCCCGGAGTCGGAAACGGAGCTCCGGGAAGAAGGGAACCCGGCGCTTGCGTCCAAGAGGGGAAGTCCGGGCCATTGGGAGAGGCAGGCGGCGGTCCGGGTCCCTGGAGAAAACGGCCGCGGGGCCAGACGAACCCTCCCCGGCGCGGGCGGGGCTCTGAACCGTCCCCGCGACCCTGCCGGGATTAGGCTCCTCCGCGGGGGTGACTCGGCCGCGAGCCAGCCGAGGGCGCGGACTGGCTGCGGCGCGGCCAGCGCTCTAGGACCCTGCGGGGCGGCGAGTTCGCCCAGGAGGCGGAGCGACAAGCTGGGGATCCAGCCGAGGGCTCCGGGGGGGCCCGCGCCCCGGGAAAGCGCAGGTACGAAGCCCTGAGGCAGAAGCGCCGCCGGGCCTTCATCCCCGCTCATCCTGGAGAAGCCAGCTCCCTGTTGACGAAACTGGATGCGCATACAGGTAACGAGGCTCATGTGGCCCAAACCCCATCATCTGGGCAGGGGATTTGAACTCAGGCGTCTCTGACCCCAGTCTGTGCCCTCAATCCCTAGGGGACACAACAGCTACTCCTACACTTGGCTCCTCCCGAAGCAGAGCCATTTCCTGTTGGGCCCTACGATGGGCGGTACCAGGGATCCAGCAATGACCAAGGTAATTACAACCCTGTCGTCGGGGGAATCGCAGTCCTGAGGGGCAGAGAGACCCATCCCAAGATAATGATGACGCAGAGTGTGGGATGGGGCAGCCCAGAAGGGGTGCTTGACCCCGCTTGGGGTTTAGGTAGGGCTTCCTGGAGGAGGAGACATCATAGTTGGGGTAGGAAGGGGTTGGACCAATCCTAGGGAAAGAGAATTCCAGACAAAGGGAACAGTATATACAAAGCCACAAAGTTGAAAACAGTCTAGGTTTCCAAGCACAGACCTAACCTAGTCACCCCACCCTCTTAGTGGCCTCAGTGGCATCCCTCAGGATAAAGTCTAAACTCTTCAACAGGCATCTGTCAATTCAGTAATACATTCCTTTAGTCATTCAACAAACCACATTCACAAAACCTAACGCTGAGAGATGTCACATAGACTTGAGACAGGTGGGGAACTTTGTCTCTAGTTCAATTCTGGTCAAGGACACATACCCCAGTTGCAGGCTTGATCCCNAAAAACCATCACAACAATTCACTTGAACTAATGAGTTTATATTACAACTTGTCATTATTGAATTTACTGCGTTCTCAGTTGCTCTCATACTGTTAATCAGCCAGAAGTATTTCAGTGTTTTAACCAGCACATCCATACCAGCTCATACGAGGTAAATTTTGGCCTTACTTGCCAAACCTGGTTAATAATTAGCTGAGCCCAGAATTTAACTCTCTCGTTTTGCAAACACAAAGTCTTTTCTGTAAGGTTTGAATAGGTTCTGAATTTTCCAGGAAGTGCAGCTTGTATTGTGTTTTGTTCAAAACTTGGCCAAAGAGTGTCAACAAGTTCAGAAAATCGCATTCCTCACAGCTCTTAAACACCGACACCACGTGTTTCTAGCCGTGTTGGGAGCTGCATTCATTACAGGTGTAAACATCTGGCTACCTCCTTGGGTTCTGGGGAGATGGCTCCACACGTTCCCATACTGAAATGCATATTATAAATTTCTATCCTTTTACTTCTTTTAATTACAGTTCAGACAATATGAGATTGTTTTTAAAGTCATGTGCAGTTGAGTTCAATTACCTATGAACTTTATTTCAGGAGAGCCAAGAGGACCTTCCCAGGGCTGACATTCCAGCCAGCACATGCACTGGTGTGGCCATGCAGGTGTTTTAAACAATGGAAACATTAAATTATGGATTATTAATCCATTGGCAGGTGTTCCCTGCCATGAGTCCCCTATTATTACCCTCCTGGCTCTTCCTGGGGCCCCCTGGACCTCCCCCCATGACCCAGCAGCCAAGGGATTAACACTGGGCACAGTGGGAGGGAAGGGGGCCCATGTCCCAGATGCTGTTGGATGGGACAATGTTTTTAAAAAGTTATAAATATTTTGTGTATTGTCCTGGGCATTACAAAATATGTGCTGTGAAAAGTGGATGGCATGCAAAGACCTGTGTTCAAATGCACCTTCATGCACAATAGCCCCAAACTGGAAACCACCACATTGTCCATTAGAGAGGCGGGTACATCCAGACCAAGGAATACTCAGCGATTAAAATAAAAGGGGGAAAAGGCCTGGCCAGTGCGGCTCAGCGGTTGAGTATCGACCTAGGATCCAGGAGATTGCGGTTCGATTCCTGGTCAGGGTACATGCCCAGGTTTTGGGCTCGATCCCCAGCAAGGGGCAGCTGATCAATGACTCTCATCATTGATGTTTCTATCCCTCTCCCTTCCCCTCTCTGAAATCAATGAAAACATTTTTTCAAAAAAAAAAAAAGGAACAGAAAAAAGTGGCTAAAGTAAAGTACTGTTTGGTGGAACTTGGCCCAGTTACATATTCATTGCATATGTCTATACATATTGTATATGTAGGTAGTATATGCAATATATTACATATGTAGGTATGTACCTCTATAAATAGGCATCCCTCATAATCTAAATCTAATCCATCTCTAAAAAAGCCATTAAATAGAAAATTCGAGGATAAACAACAATTTTAATCTGGAAAATAACATACTCACTCCCAGTACCCTCCAAAAACTCCACCGACTGTGCCAAATACCGCTAAAACACTCAAACACTTCTGGAACAATCCACCAAGGATTTGGCATACTAAAAACCATTGACAAAACCCGGTTACATGACTGCTTGACACTTAATGCATGCATCAGGTGGCTATGTTTGAATGCAGTACACAAGTTTGCAGAGAATCAGATGTGAATTATATTTCCACCCTGCAACAGTCATCAGAGTTAAGTGGGGGGGAAAGGAAACTAAAGAGAATCAACATACCACTGACGGCACCCGGACTGGCGGTGCCTCCAGGCACCTGGCACAAGTGTGCACAGGGACCCAGACAGATAGCACCAGAAATGTGTGGCGTGTGCCCTGGCTGGTCCGGCTCAGCAGCCAGGGTGCCGGCCCTCGCACTGCAGGGTCAGGGCTCCATGCTGGCCAAGGGCACGGACCTCGGCTCCAGGCTTGATCCCCGGTCCTGGGTCGGAGGCTACCAATCCATGTTTCTCTCCCTCCCTCTCCCTCTCCCTTCCACTTTCTCTAAAGTATCAATGGGAGAAATATTCTAGGGTGAGGATTTACAAGAGGAAAGGAAATGTGTAACACACTCCAATAACTCACAAGACAGGATCCTGTTAGAACAGGTGAGCTGCGACTGGTGTCGGCCTCACCCTGGACTCACACAGGACTTAAAATAGTTGCACAGCACGTTTTTTATTTAAATAGCAAATTTGGGGTTAAAAAAGAGCAAGTGTTGGGACTATTCGCAGTGAGAGTTCAGGTATATAGGGATACCTGCATTCTTATGTAGGTGCTGGTGGAAAGCAAATTTCTTACTGTGACGTGTACATTTTTAACTGGAAGATAATACACATAGGGTAAAATGCACACATCTAAGTGTACAGGTTAACTAATTTTTCCACATGTTTATATCTGTGTAAACATCACCCATATCAAGACATAGAACATTGGCTGTATTATAGGTTCCCTTGTGCCCTCTCCCAGGCCATGAGCACCTGCTAGGCCACTACTGTTCTGATTTCTCTAGCCTGTCCTAGGCCTTCATATAAATGGAACTATATAGTATGTACTGTTTCTGGCTTCTTTCACTCAAAATACTATCTGTGAGATGCATCCAAGTTGAGTACAGTTGACCCTTGAACAACATGGGGATTAGGGGCCCCAACGCCCCATACAGTCAAACTTTTGACTCCCCCAAAACTTAAGTTGTCCCTCAGTATCCGTGGTACACTGGTTCCAGGACCCCCCTGAATATTCAAACCCACGGATGCTCAAGTCCCCTATACATGTGATGTAGATCAATGCATACAGTTGGCCCTCCACATCCACAGACTCCCAACACATCAAAACAGTACAGCTATTTATTGAAAAAAATCCATGTATAAGTGGACCTTCGTGCAGTTCAAACCCATATTGTTCAAGCGTCAACTGTATATCAATACTTGCTTTTTTTGCCAAGTAGCCTTCAGTCTCATGACTGATAATTCTACAGGTTATCTAGGTGACTTCCTTCTGAATTTTGGCAATTATGAAGACAGCAGCTGTAAATATTTGTGTGCTGGTTTTGTGTGAGGTTTTCATTTCTCTTAGGAGTGGGGCTCCAGAGCTGTATGGTAAATGTATATTTTAATTTGGTAATATTGCCTTAGCCGCCCTGACCATTACCTAAGGCTAATATTGCCTTAGCTCAGTAGGTTAGAGGGTCCTTCCAATAGGCTAAGGTTGTGGGTTCGATCCCTTAGTCAGAGCACAACTAAGAATCAACCAATGAGCCCTGGTCGGTTTGGCTCCGTGGTTAGAGCGTCGGCAGGTGGACTGAAGGGTCCAGGGTTGGATTCCAGTCAAGGGCACGTCCTTGGTTGTAGCTCGGCCCAGCTGGGGCGTGTGTGGGAGGCAGCCAATCGATGTGTCTCTCACATGGATGTTTCCCTTCCA